CACTCATCATGCCTGTGCTGGTGTATGGCGCGGAGGCATGGACAATGAAAGCATCTGATGAGGCGTCTCTTGGAGTTTTCGAGAGAAAGATTCTGCGAAAGATTTACGGACCCTTTTAACGTGGCGGGACCCAAACCCAGCGCACGCGAAGTTTTACGCCTTCTCACTTTAGCTCGCTCCCAAACGGGTGTTTGGTTGCTACCCAGAGGATACGTGGATATAAATATCCGGACGTTGTGAGCTGCGATTTGAACCGTACGCACAAGAATCACTTCTGGCCACTCCCAGGTGAATGGCAGTCAAAATTTTTCCACTTCTGCGCACGGAACAGGAGTTACAGTTTCTTCAAAATTGCTACTTTTTCTGCGTTTTGTACAAAAAAATGTTATATAATCAAATAAGAATTAACAAATCAGGCTCAACTGGTCTCTGGCAAATATTGTAAGCTTTCATAAAAAAAAAGTAAAAAGTAATCAAATTAAGTGAAAAATGAAGGCTCCAGTGAATTACGAACACTAAATGCCGGTTTTGAACCACTGTGCAGCAGGGGTTTTATCTTCTTTCAGTGGAGCTGGAAACTCAGCGTGCAACACGATCCTGGGCACAACTTTCCCTTTGCTTTATAGTTTGTACAAAGATTACCGATTAAATTGAAACTCTTAAGTGGGGTGAGAAACAAACTGGCGAAGGTTTTTTTTTTAATTTTATAAGGGACGTTTTTATTTTTCATATTCGGCTTAAAAATTTACCTCTGAAAAATGCAGAGCTGATTTAAAGGACAGTTTAAGAAATAAAGGACAAAAGGCGTCCTTTATTTTGAAAAAAATTATAAAGGACACGGGGTTAAAATAAAGGACTGCCCTTTAAAATAAAGGCCGGATGGTCACCGTACGTATAGTAGAAGAGTGCCGTTGGTGTAGATTGATGGCTCACTATATTCGATGGCTTCGATGACGTTGCTGTACGGAAGGACTTCGATTTCGCTTATTAGTTTATTTATTTCCTCTTTATTTAATAGATTACTCTTGACAACTCCTGCTTTGGCCATTTGACCTGCTCGAATCAACTCGTTAACGTCCTCCTTAAGGATCGCTACCTTGTGCTCTATTTCCTGTGAAACTTTAGCCAGGTGGTTGCGTTCCATTAACAGCCTGTAATAGCTCTTGAGTTTTCTTGAATATTTCAGAGTTTACTTTATATTGAAGGTTGTTATTGGTTACTAATGCGTCTTGGCTCCGCAGGACTTCATCCCAGTCTAAGGCGTCAGGTGTGCCAGCAATCCACTTCCAGGCTGACCCAATCCAATTGATTGAACGCTTGGATCTTTAGGCTTAGGGCCCTTCAGCTCGTCGAGTTGAGTTTGAGTTTTCTCCAACTGATAGGTGATGACGTCAGTGATAGCGTTGGTCTCATTCATCCTAGAGCTTTCATAGCTTAGACGATTTAAAATTTTATCATAGCGCGTCAAGTCGATCATGTGGACCAGTTTAAAATGTCCGTTGACTATCGAACCGTACCCATCTCGAACGGTTAGAACAGGAGAATCTAGGTTGAATACAACGTATGCTTGTGCGGTTGCACAGAGGCAGATTCTATGAATTAGATTCANAACTTTCCCTTTGCTTTATAGTTTGTACAAAGATTACCGATTAAATTGAAACTCTTAAGTGGGGTGAGAAACAAACTGGCGAAGGTTTTTTTTTTAATTTTATAAGGGACGTTTTTATTTTTCATATTCGGCTTAAAAATTTACCTCTGAAAAATGCAGAGCTGATTTAAAGGACAGTTTAAGAAATAAAGGACAAAAGGCGTCCTTTATTTTGAAAAAAATTATAAAGGACACGGGGTTAAAATAAAGGACTGCCCTTTAAAATAAAGGCCGGATGGTCACCGTACGTATAGTAGAAGAGTGCCGTTGGTGTAGATTGATGGCTCACTATATTCGATGGCTTCGATGACGTTGCTGTACGGAAGGACTTCGATTTCGCTTATTAGTTTATTTATTTCCTCTTTATTTAATAGATTACTCTTGACAACTCCTGCTTTGGCCATTTGACCTGCTCGAATCAACTCGTTAACGTCCTCCTTAAGGATCGCTACCTTGTGCTCTATTTCCTGTGAAACTTTAGCCAGGTGGTTGCGTTCCATTAACAGCCTGTAATAGCTCTTGAGTTTTCTTGAATATTTCAGAGTTTACTTTATATTGAAGGTTGTTATTGGTTACTAATGCGTCTTGGCTCCGCAGGACTTCATCCCAGTCTAAGGCGTCAGGTGTGCCAGCAATCCACTTCCAGGCTGACCCAATCCAATTGATTGAACGCTTGGATCTTTAGGCTTAGGGCCCTTCAGCTCGTCGAGTTGAGTTTGAGTTTTCTCCAACTGATAGGTGATGACGTCAGTGATAGCGTTGGTCTCATTCATCCTAGAGCTTTCATAGCTTAGACGATTTAAAATTTTATCATAGCGCGTCAAGTCGATCATGTGGACCAGTTTAAAATGTCCGTTGACTATCGAACCGTACCCATCTCGAACGGTTAGAACAGGAGAATCTAGGTTGAATACAACGTATGCTTGTGCGGTTGCACAGAGGCAGATTCTATGAATTAGATTCAAAATTGTTAACTTAATCCTACTTTTACCTCCTAGATAGCTTAAAATGAACATCGTAAATAATTTTCTTTTCAGGAATTGAATTTAACTTTATTTCTTTAAATTACTTCGAAATTAAATTTTTAAGTCAAATCGAATACAGAACACTTTATAATTAATCATTTGGATTTTTTTTTTGAAGCGTGTATGCCGAAATTGTTATCAATAATCCTACAGTAACAATTTAATGTAGTAATTATTTCTTAATAATAATAACGATAAGGATAAGGGATATCAGGAATTCATGGGGACCCAGGTAGTGATGTTAACGGTGGATTTTTTGACGATTAATTTGTTAGTATTTAATTATTAGGATTAGTATCATTAGTACGGGGTAGTAAGTTCGGCTAATAATTTTAATTTTTATATTTTTTTTTGCTTTTACTTGTTTTTGCATTAGTTTCTGCGTGTTAGTAAGTTAGTATTTTTTTTTAACTTTTAAGCAGGTTAGTGGTTATTTTTGTTTTTATGGAATGCTTTCTTTTTTTTTTTTTTGCATTTGCATTTGCATCATATTTGCATGTTCTTTTATTCTTCGTTAATTTTTTTATTCTTTGGCGCGTTTGCGCGAGATGTATTCTCGTATACATTTGTAACTTTTGCTTACTTATTTAGCCGAATGTGTATTTATGGTTTCTTTGCATCGAACTATAGGTATTATTTGTCTATGGAAGGCCCGCGTTGGTCCCTTTTAGTCATAAGCGTTTATAATTGCAAATGACCTACTCATGGCACGGGTGGCTTCACGCAAATAAGCAGAAGATTACCGTGGGGGAGTTGAACCACCTCGAATCTGCCATCTCACACCACTGAGCGAGGTGGAATTGAACCACTATGACTTCATCGACTACAAACGCATAAACGCTTGCATTCCGAACCGCCGGATTCTAGTAATCTTAAGCTTCTTATTAACCTTTTGTCTAATGTTATCTTACACATTTTTTATATCTGCTTTGTGGAATTTTTTCCCACTTTCAGTTACTATTGTCGCATTTCTATTTTCTGAGATTGTTTCTTTTTTAAATAGAGGCCTTTGTTTCCCCTTTATTTGTCTGTTTGCTATGAACAGAGTATCGCCACTATCATATTCTTTGGATTGCGAGCGTTTTGAATTGATCCTTACATTTCTAGCTTCTTGCTCATGTAGTTCCAAAGCTTTGATATTCTCGTGCGTTTGATCCCCAAAGTCCCTTAAACCTTGGTAGTTTACCCTAGCTGTTCTGTTAAAGAATATATCTACCGGTTGCCTTTTTGTTATGGAGTGGATGGTATTGTTGTACCTATCTACGACTATCGCTACCCTCTACTTGGGAGTCATCATAGGAAAGTCGTTAGAAATGCACCGATAAATTTCAATAAGGGTTGAATTCAACCTTTCTACCTGGCCATTGGCTTCACTCCGTTGTGTGGGCGTCTGGTAAATTTCAATCCCGAGAGATCTAATGTAATTGAGAACGAGTGGAGTTAGAAATCCCCTCTCATTGTCCATGACCAAGATTTTTGGCACGGAAAAATAATGTAAAACTTCAGTAAGTTTCCTTCGGATATAAATGGATGACTTATTCTTGATAGCGAATAATTTTGCGAATTTTGAAAACTTGTCTACACAGCTCAGAAACTTCCGTTTTTCAATCTCAAAAATATCCATGTGAATGATCTCGCATGGGTAGCTGGGAATCGGTGTCGGCTGGAGGTGAGGCTTAGCCGGATGCCTGTCATATTTATTAAGCTTACACACTTCGCACTGCCTAACATAATCCCTAATTTGCTTCGACATACCTGGAAAGTAGTACTTTTCGAGAATCTTCTCTCTATTTTCTTTCGGATTCCTGTGGGCTCTGCGATGCTCTTCCTCGATTATATCGAAAATTCTATCAGGGATGGTCACGTCTTCCACTAGACGCTGAGTTATCCTGATCCTATACCTGTGGAAATTATTAGCATACACGTTTTGCAATAATTGGAGAAATTCCTCAGGAATTTTTATGCCATTTATAACATTAGGATTAAGGCATTCTTTAAGAATTGGAATAACGTTTGAACTGTCGATATTTGGTAAAGAAATAAAATATCTGCGGTAGCCATGAGGCAGTTGCTCATGGCATCGAGATTCCTGACCTACTCTAAATATTACCTGATTTCTAAACACGTTTATGGGGGCCTCGACGTGTGGTATAAGATCGGAATTATCCTGAATTGTTGCTACCTCATCACTATTTCCTATTTCGCTTCCTGACGGTTGAGCCACCGCAGAATCCGTTAAGACGTTGAGTCCGGTCTTAAGACGGGAAAGGGCATCTGCGACCACATTAGCCTTCCCTGGCTTATAAATTATTTCACAGTTCTATTCTTCGATTCGTGCTTTTCACCTCTTTAGTTTTGCATTATAATTGCGACATTTGGCACCGTATAAATACGACCTCAAAGTATCTAATGCCCACACTATGGCTAGCATCTCCTTTTCATTCGTAGCGTAGTTTTCCTCGGCCTTGTTTAGAGAGCGAGAAATATATGCAATTGGTTTGTCCGTACCCATATCCCCCTGGGATAGTACTGCACCAATTGCGTAGTTTGACGCATCAATGGTCAAATTAAAAGGCTTACCAAAATCAGGAAATGCCAGGACATCAGCGGAAGTTAGAATACGTTTTATGTCACCGAAGGCTTTCAAAGCCGCACTGTCAAGTTGTATTGCTACTTTCCTCGGTGCACTGGCTTTTATTTGTGCATTTTCCGGCGCGTTAGATTTGTCATGGCTTAGCTATTTTTGCGAAGTCACGAACGAACTTCCGATAGTAGGAGGTCATCCCCAAAAAGCTTTTCAGGTCTTTCAAATTGCATGGTGGCAGCCTCAACCTTTGTTGGGTCAGGACGAACTCCTTCGGGAGTAACTAAATAGCCAAGGAATTCAACTTCATTTTCGAAAAAAACATGTTTTATCTAAGTTTGCCTTTAAATTTGCCTCTAAGAGTCTTGAAAAAACCTTTTCTACGTTGTCTAAATGTTCGTCCGCGTCTTTTCCAAATACTATAATGTCATCAACAGGGAACGGATTTTATGGAAATTGCCTTTTTTTCTGCTAAAGAGATAGAGTATATTCGATTAAGAATGTCCACGATTTAGCTTTCTCTGATTCCATATATACATATTTGATGTAGCCTTTTTTTTGCCTTTTTTTGCCTTTTTTAAGATATTTGCCTTTTTTTTTGCCTTTTTTAAGATATTTGCCTTTTTTGCCTTTTCTACCTTTAAAAAAGTGATTATAGCATTTACAATTTTTTTTTTAAGATTAAAAAATATACACATGCCCATGCGGCTTATAGAAGCGGAGGGACCTCTTGCCAAACTGGTATTGGAAAAATTCAAAGCCGTTTTCTCGGCTAACGTAGGCTTAGAGACAATAAGGGGTGTGGATAAAATTGTAAAGGGCGCGGAAAACGCCCTTAATCGTGATAATATGAACGTTTCAAACGTTCCATATTTAAATTGGGCTCCACTTATATCACCTTACGTCGAGCGCACATTAGTACATTCAAGGCTTTTCTTCGCGAAAATCGAATGAAAATGCTGCCAGAAAACTTAAAAATGCATCTTGTGGTTCAATGTTACTACAACTATACAGATTAAAGTTTTATGAGTTAGAAACTCGAAAGGATAAAATAGTCAAAGATTCAAAGTACAAATTTTTCATATAATGAAACTAGTTCANAATGTATTGTTTCAATACATCGTCAATCATTCTTTGGAAAATAGCGGGCGCGTTTTTCAGTCCAAAGGGTAGACGTAGGAACTCGTATTTTCCGTTCATCGTTGAAAAAGCGGTTTTAGGTATGTCTGAGTCCTTCATTGGTATCTGGTGGAAACCAGACGTTAGGTCTATCGTAGTATAGTAATTAGCCTGTCCGAAGCTACAAAGTGGTTAATGTCAGCCTGGGATAGGATACGTGTCCGCTATTGTCACTGCGTTCAGCCTCTTATAGTCGATCACCATTCGATATTGCTTTTCCCCATTGGACTTTGGTTTTTTTGGCACTACCCAAATTGGTGAGTAATAAGGACTTTTTGATGGTCGGATAACACCCTCGGAAAGCAGTTCATTAACCTGCCTCTCGACTTCGTCTCTCACACACGCTGGGTATGGATAGCTTTTGCTGTATATTGGCTCGGGGGTGGAGGTTCTTATTTCGGCGCGAACGCTTGTGTCTATAAACTCGTTCCCATTCAAGGGCTCGAAAAGATTGGAATATGTCTTTAACAGAATGTCTATTTTTTCGTGAACTTCAGGAGGCATTTCCTTTCCCAATGTAAAATTAACATTACAGGACGTGCGCGCCTTAAGCGGGATTTTGTAGTTCCCTATTTTTAGTAAGTTATCCTTCCTATCTTTTACAGCACCCAACTCTCTTAGTGTGTCATCGCCGATGATTCCACTGAAACTACTTAGAGTTGGTAACACAAAGAATTCGAACCCACTTGAGTTGCCTACATTTTCAAATAACTTAACTTTTACCTTTTCCTTTATAGGAATGGAACCTCCAACAGATGCTACGTTAATAGTTTGTTTTACCGGTATTGTTTTGGTCGCTATATCCTGTCTAATGAAATTCATATTCGCACCGGTGTCGACTAAGAAATCTAGCGCGCGACCATCGGGTGACGTATGTTCTAGGTATGGTACGCTAGATGACCGGAAAATAGAAAATCCTCGGAATTTTCGTCTTTTGTGGGTTCTTGGTCTTCGACCTGCGCTTCACCTTCATCTGGGACGGTATGAAATAGTCTTTGCTGTTTCCGAGGTAAATTATCAGAGCGGGCACAGCGTTTGAAGGGGCCTGTTTATATAATTAACGTTAAGCGTTTGTACCGAAGGATCTACCTCCATCTTTTCCACGCGAGAACTCGAGGAGTTATTTTGGTTATCCTCTCTCCCGGAAGGACGCTCGTTCTTCAAGTACTGAGAACGTTTTCTTGTGAACGCTATGTAGGTTTCGGCGGTAATTGTGGGGGTTTCCTACTCTGCGGATAAAATCTGCTCGGAAAATTATTTACCGGCACCACCACGCGATTATTAGAATTATTTGAAGAGTGTATCGCAAAACTTCGGAAATCGACATTTTGGATTTCCAGACACGCCGAATAGGCCTCTGTCAGGGTTTTAGGAAGTTGTATGGGGATCATTCTATACATCTCCCCATTTACCCCGCGTATAAAAACGTCGAGTGCGCGGTTGCGGTAAGTTTCCACGAGAACTTTTACCGTTTCGTCCGTATAGGACTCAGTTTTAATTTTATTAATTATGAGGGAGAACTGATGGTTTACCTTCGCATAAAATTCGTCGATCCTTGATCCCTTCTGTTGCAACTGGTGTTCAAGGGTGCGAATGTCTCGCTTGTCTGCGTAATGCAGAGGAAGACATTATTTAATCTTTGCCCAGCTCCTGCCAAAATTGTTGTAGGGTATTAAAGCGGAATCAGCAGCACCACGCACCTTCTGCCTAATATGTTGTAGAATTACACGATAGAGCGGTTTCCGCTTTACGACTTCAAAGTCAGAGAGTATTACCTCCACCGAATGAATCCAGGACACGTATTACACTGGGTTACCATCAAACACTTGTAGTTCCTTGACACAGTCAGGAAGCCTACTAATATCACGTATTTCTGCTTCAGTCGTGGGGCTTGAGCCACTACCTCCTCTGGTGGTTCTACTGGGCTACTAGTTCCTAGTGTGGTAGCCCTGGAGCTAGCGTCTATACGCGCCACGCGCCTTTCTAGAGTGTTAATCTTCCCCAGAAGGGCGTTGACAGCCCCAGTTAAATTCGTGACAGTGGTCCTCAATAGAGGTGTCAAACTATCGATAGTCACACCATCGATAGTTTTGATAGTTTTCAGAAAAACTATCAATATTCACGATGGTCTCGAAAAAAACAAAACTATCTATAGCACTATCGATAGCTCTAAATAAGTTAGGTTGCTTTGTTTTTACAGGATCATAGTGAAATAAATATTATCTTATAAAAGTTACAATCATTCAAAATTAAGTAACTGCTTAGCCAAAATACTTCTCTTTTTAGAAAGTTTAAAAACAAACACAAGTTATACAAACAAAACAGGATTTACGATTAACATATGTATGTATAATTTCAAAAAAATTGGGAGAGATGATCGATAGTCCTACTAAACTATCGATATTTTCGATAGTATATGAAAAAACTATCAATGAGTATTGATAGTCTAAAAAAATTCAAACTATCGATACTATCGATAGTGCTATCGATAGTTTGACAACTCTAGTCCTCAAGTCCTCCATCCTAGAAATAGCAAAAAGATAAATTCGTGGTAATATACTTACAAGACACGGAGAATTGGCATTCGGTAGCCAATCTGATCCCTTGATTAAATTATCCCTTAAATTGTTTAGTTGGTCTATATCCTTTAATTTATTACTTTATTAGTCCTTTTTTTCCGTATATGTTTATTCTTTTAAAATTTTTTATTGTTCTTGGGAGGTTTACACTTTTATTTGTATAACTTGTCCACACTTTTCACACTACTGGGTCCCTGCTCGGGCGCCAGTTACGGACGTTCAGTCCGTATAAGTCAAAAAAATTAATTGGGCCAGCCGCCCAAAAGGAAACACAGACTAGTTAAGAATTCACTTAGGTTTTATTAACACTTAACTCCTTACGACTAAGTCTAACACTAACAGGTCTATTCTGCGCGTTACCAAAGATTTTGTAACCGGGAAATTTTATTACCAAAAAATTTTACCAGTTTTTGTCACCGCGATTCTAGGAACGTTGGTAATGCAGTTAAAATATTCAGCGATTCAGCTATGAAGAATTGTGCAAATTCTGGCATTGCATATTTCACGGGGCAATACTTTGTTACCAGCTTATGAGATGGTAACAAAATTTACCGGTTATAAGAGTACACAGAATGCGAAAAGGGTTTAAAAATTGACGGGAACTTTATTTACCGGTTACAAACTTTTTATTACCAGCGCAGAATAGACCTGTAAACGTACTGTATGATAACCCGTCCCGAACTGGCTGCATGTTGTGGCCGTTGCTTGCTTGCCCCCTTCGTTCTCTGGCAGCGACGCAATGGTTGCGTAACATGTTTACTACCTATTGTCTGAGACTGGATTTGGCCTTGACTTCCCACGGGTGCATTATGGAATGCAGGTGGCAATGTCTCCCGTTACACTATGAAAAAAGAACAGTAGACTATGCAAGCAAAATGTCGTTTGCTCACATTTAGTATAGGCCTACATATGTACATACTAAACTTCTGCGCAATTCCATTTAAACGGCCTAACAAGACATCCGATCGCCGAGCAAATAAATATATAAATAAATAAATNCCCACGGGTGCATTATGGAATGCAGGTGGCAATGTCTCCCGTTACACTATGAAAAAAGAACAGTAGACTATGCAAGCAAAATGTCGTTTGCTCACATTTAGTATAGGCCTACATATGTACATACTAAACTTCTGCGCAATTCCATTTAAACGGCCTAACAAGACATCCGATCGCCGAGCAAATAAATATATAAATAAATAAATAAATACTTTCCCTCCTTTACTCTCATCGTTTGGGTCAAGTGTGAGTAAGCATAAGTCAGTTTCTTTCTGCAAGCGTAAAGCAAGACGCGTAGAGTATTTACTTTGCCTTCCGCAACTACTGCGAGTAAAAGGTATTTAAGGTATTTGCAAGTAGAGTACTCTACTGGCAGTACTTGAGTATTTTCGAAGAAAACATACATTTGTGGTATCTGAATAAAACTAAGGACAGGAATGTAGTGGAGCGATGAAGAGAGCGACGAGCAAAACGTACTTTCAACTAAAACGCTGATATACATACCTAAGTACATAAGTATGTATGTGCATATCTCAGTGGTGCACACGGGAGCAGGGTTCGGATTTGCCTCATTTTGGCCACTCGCTCGCTCGTTAGTTTGCTCTGAGTTAGCGCAACTCACGAGGAACACGCGAGGCTGTTTGCAAATGAGCACTCGTTAGGTACGAGCGCACGCGACGAGTAGCCAGCGAGCGAGTAAGCAAACGAGGGCGGCGCAAGAGTAGAGCGGCAAGCAAACGAGGGCCTCATTAGGTCTGCCCTCGCGAGAGGGGCGTTGCGAGCGAGGCACTCATTTGCAGCAGCAGACGAGCGAGGCGAGTAAATGAGCGAGGCAAATGAGGCAAGCAGATTAGACAGGCAAACGGGTTGTTTGGTCAGCAAAAATGTATGGGATAAAAATTGCATCAACTAAGAATTTAGAGCAAACGATTGTATGCACACATGTAGATATGTATATACATACATATATACACATATGTATGTATTTATTTATGTATATATTTTCATGCACAGAAGAATAGATGCGTGCTATTTTTGCCAGTTTTATCTACTAGGTAGGCTCATATGTGCATACATATATATTACTATGTACTTATACGCACGTATTATTCGCAAATAACAATTTGCAAAATGGTAAAATTTGCCGTATAAACGCTGAGTTAAC